TTCACTGAAAAGATGACAAATATATCATCCAAAGTGTGTTATGGCCTTGACTTAAATTCGAGGTCACTTAGAGAATATGATGTTTTGGATGAATAGTCTGAAAAAATACGTGACTGTGGTTTTTTTATGTCGGTGACATACAGATGGTGTTTGCTCTTAACCAGCTGCAGAATGTGTCATGGCTTTACGCAAGGTTATTTGGACATGTTCAAGTTCACTGACAGGGGAATTTTACATTCCTTTACTGTCTTTTTACTGTTGAAACATTGCAAATTGATGCCCCTTACAGGATTGTTTATAACCTTAAAATGTTGCATGGCCTTAACTCAAGGTCGCTATGTCCTGTCCGGAGCTCCGACGGAAGACCTATTCGTTGCATTGCAACGAGCTCGGCTCTAGTTTGACGTATTATTTTTGAGCAGTTCCTTGTATTTCTCCATCAGCCTTTTACAGACATATGCCCTGCCATCGATTGCAACTTCTCGGGCCTTCCGACAAGCGGAAAAACACAATGTTTTTCCTAGCTTACCAGAAAGGCCCGAGAAGATTCGACTGACCCTACCATGTGAACGACAGACAAAATAAAGTAAAAAGAACAGCCTAAATTTTAATGTTTGCATGCAAAGAAGAGCATTCTGTTTACCATGAACATATAGAAACACTTTTTAATAATTGCAATGAAAATTTCAAAAGTGCCATTTTCATTTATTGCAATTTTCTTTTGTTTGTTTTGTCGATTTTTTTAAAAGAACGAAAATCTTGAAAAACTGTTGTCGTACGAAAATTAGATCACCAGAAAATTATCTCCCTTGCCATGAACAGCATTTCAACCAATGAAATAATTGAAAATTTTCACATCATGCATTTTCTACCAATCGCAAAAGGGAGGAAGAGCATAGTCCGAAGACTGTAAAAAACTTCAACTCTGTATACCGTCTTCCAACGAAAAGGGTGACTAGATGAATCTACATATATAGTGTTACTTAAAGATACAATTGAAACCGTAGGTTATTTCTGAAAAAAAAAATGCAACTTATCAGAAAAAAATCAATTTCTTAACTCTTGTGTGTTCATTTGGTTTTGTCTTGCAAACACACTGTTTGGACTGCAAATATTTTTATGTGCCCGATATGATAACGAGTCAGGTTTTTTTTTTTTGGGGGGGGGGGGGGGTTAGGTATGGCACGCCGATTGCTTCAAAATTATTTTCTGCACAACGATCACGATTTTATACACGAGCTTAATGAAAAATATACACGAGTAAAATAAAAATGCACGTATCGGTAAAAACTGCACATAGTTTGAAAGATTTTAACACAAACATAACGAAAAATACACGAATCCGAAATTTTTTACACGATTAATGGGTATAAAATGCACAAACGTAAAGTCAAAAACTGCACGAGCAGAGGAAACTAAAAATTACACAAACAATTTTACTGCGCACACAGCTGCGCATATCATTATTATGCGCATAGAATATTCATTGTGTTCTTGGTTTTCTGTACTCTTTATCTCTTCTTGAATGCTGGATGTAATCGAGAGAAAATGGCGTTGACGATGATATGCATGTTTGTTTGCTTCTTTATTTCTTTGCTAAAACTCGATCCGATTTCTAGCTTATGCAAATCAAACGAATGAAGTGTTTTTTTGTGAACTGTGTGAAAAAAATTAAAAGTTGTTCGGAGATATTATATTTTTCTGATATTGACCGAGATCCTAGCCAAAATATGGAGGTATTATATGATGCCGGACATAAATTGTGACAAGAAAGGAATCGCATGGTTGTGTTATAATGCGGGGGGGGGGGGGGAGTACCATTGCATATGATGCACTCTCGACTCTGAACTAAAAGTAATACACAGTAAACTCTAAATTCCTAACGACAAACAGATCTTGCTTTAAGAAAATGATAGAATTATTAATTTATTTTTTTTCAAAATATACGCTGTATATGGCCTTTTAAAATTATCTAACTTATAGATACAACTTTAACGGAAATTACTTGTATAAAATAAAATTAACACATGCATAATAAACGATTAATAAAGTGGATTCTTCATGAAAACGATGGCAGACTTACTGCTGATTATAATCATTAAATTGTAGAATTTATTTCGGTACTTCTCATTTGTACTAATTATGATTTCATTTGAGCAGATTTTTTTTTTCATTTAGGAATAGGAAACTATTCAGTTAGCTGGTATATTTTTTATTTTCAAAAAGATTAAAAAGTGGGGATTACCTGACATTAGATATACACAGTATGTTTTTAAAGTCAAATATATAAAAAAAAATTCTAATTATACATGTATCTTTACTTATAAAATATGAGGATGTCAATTTTGGTTAGATATCTGTAGCCTACACTGTTATGAATTCCTTCCATGATATTGCATATTTTCAGTCAAAAACTGCTCATTAAAAAACAAGACGTTCCTAAGGGTAAGCGTTACCCTCATTCGTAATGGCGATTACTTGATAAATGTTTTCACTTTTAATAAAAAAGGGCCAGATAAAGAAAAAAAAATATACTCTATGTGCTTTATATACATGCGGTTTTGTGTTTTGTTACTTAAAATTTGTCCAAATGAAATAAAAAACTCTACTCAAATGATCCTGGCACCGGTAAAACTAATGACATTAGTGGCGGATCTGGTTCGTGGATTGATTGAGTCGCAACATCTAAATCTATATGTATTTATTAAAGTTTCAAATCGTTGGACCAAAATGACACAGCAGAAATTTTAAAACAGTGAATTACTAAATACATCTACGTACAATGTTACAAATAAGAAAATGGGAATGGATACTATAATAAATAGAAAGAACATAGAACGTGTTTTATCGCTCTTGAAAATGCAAATAAATCATGTTCTTTATGGAGCTCGAGGTTTGACAAAGATTTTCCAAGATAACAAATTTATTTACATTTCGAATTTGTATGCATAAAGTTTTAATTATTATCCGAACACTTGTTTTTTTTATAATAACACTTTTTTTTACCCAAATCTATAGTCATTATAAAAAGAACATGACTATAATTATAAAATGAAAATAATCTTCAATAACATTCATGGAACATATATGATAAAGCTCCACTTTTTATAAGACTATTCATGTGCATATCTAACATTTTTGAAAATTCAGATTATGAGTTAAAAAGACTAATCTATGCAATATGAATTTTGTACGTATATATGTACAAGTAATTAAAAAGTTTGCTTTATATTGTACATGTGTATCAATGGCATCAACCAGGTCTTGTTTTACTTTGAGCATGACTACGACTAAATATAAGAAAACATATGATGAATATAAACCTCAAGAAATTTTTGTTTTATTACCGTGTGCAAATTTATTATTGTCAAAATCTACATTGAAAATAAATATGCATGTGTAGCCAAGTCCCAAATAATTAAGTTCATCTTGTACATCTTCTTGAATTTGGTCTTACAATATCGTTACAAATCAGTTAAATCGCAATCCTGATTTCGATAGACTATTATATGTACCCTTAAATTCTTAGAAAATGTTACAGGCACGTAGCATCAGTAGTGGCCTGCCCCCCCCCCCCCCCGCCCCACTTTTTTCCAAACATAACCTACTTCTATTGTAAATGTCCACTGAAAAAGCTGGTTGCCCACCCCCACCCCCTTGTTGTAGGATAGTTTAAATCAAAGTAATTTGGTATTATAATGTGTTTCGAAAACAAAGTGGAAGGTGGACCCCCCCCCCCTCCCCCACGAAATAGGATTTTCGAGTTCGGACACTTTACCTTTTTTGTTGCTTGTCAAGGTTTTTTTCAGGTAGGCTGTCAAAAAAAAAAAATTTTGGCTGTCCCCCACCTTTCAAAAACGATACTACGTGCCTGTATTTTATAATTTTAAATTTTCTTCACTCCTTTATATGCATTTTAACTATTCAAAATAGACTACCGCCGGTACATTAAAAACAACATAAAACATAACACGTTGCTCAAAAGTTAAGACTACATGTACTACTTTGTTACATACATAAATTTTATCAAAAAGTGAGATATGTTTCAATATTAAAATTTCAGTTGCGCAATTATTTGCTCGATTTTCTTTACTGTTGACTTCCAAAAAGTTTTCGGTCAAATTCCACAACCCAGATGATCGCAACATTGCTTCAAAATCTGTGTATGAATTACCAGTAATCTTTGATCAAAAGGTATTATTGGTGTATGAAATAGCTAGAAATCGATTAGCGTACAGGTGTCTTTCGTTCCAGAACCAGCAGGGAGGGATCTCTGAATGAAAAGGTCACGCATGCACATCCTTGATTATTACCAAAAGTACACTCAGTGGGTGGTGGAGGAGAAGAGTTTGATTTGTTGTTAACTCTCCTGTATTGTATCACGTGTTGTTTTTATTTATTTCAATTTAGGGCTATATGTCATTGTTTTAAACTTTCAAAAGAATTTGCTATTTAGAGGAATGACCTACTAAAAAAAAATCCAACAATTAAACACACAACGGTAATATGCACCCCCCCCTTTTTTTACGTTATCTATACATGTATTCTTTGTAGAATGTTTTTTAATCGGGAGTGTTCATATACTACAAGTTTAAGATTATGTGCTTGTCAGTTTATCTACATGTATAATATACGTTGTACATATTCTTGAGAGTCTAGCGGAATATTAAGGTTTCAAGCATCCAAGCCACATTGACCTGTTATCTAATGAATATTAATGAAATGTGCGCAATGAGGATGCGTTCCATATTATGTCGATGTTGTATTCTCACTCGTGCAGTTTTCGTTTTTACGTTTGTGTAATTTTCTCACAATATCGTGTAAATATTTTGTTGATTGTGCAGTTTTTCTATAGTTTGTATAAATTTCAATAACTTCGTGTATATTTTCCTCACTTTGTGTAAGTTTTTACTTACTCGTGTAATTTTTGTTTAAGGTCGTGCAGAAAATAATTTTGAAGCAATCGGCGTGCCATAGTTAGGTATCACTACATTTCTTACTTGCAAAGTATTATTCCCTGTTGAACGTCCATTGAAATCATGCCCTGTCCCAAGAACTGTCAGATGGAGATTGTATTGTACAGCAAAGGCAACGGAATCTTTGACATCGTCACGTGTTTTCGCCACGACAACAGCAAAGGGATAACTCGTCCTAACCAAATTGCGCATCTTAGTAACATTCGTGTAGGTCTGGTGGTCTGAGGGGAATACCATGGTACCATTTGGTAAGGAAGTAGCAAATGCATTGATGATACTGGAACTTGGAAAGCAAGGGTTTCCAGGGTAACAGAAAGAAGTCAATGCCTGGCCAAGTACAGGAAAACTTGCCAAGAATGTGACAACAATTAAGTTATCCATTCTGAAAAGAAATTAAAAAAATATTTCCTGAAAGTTGTGATAAATCTTTACCCCTATCTTGCTGACAATTATTCACTTATTTCTATTTTTTCTTTTTTTCTGTTAACAATTTTAATTTTAAAACTTTGTCTCCAGAACCTACACTAGACCAAATTCAATTATATTCACTTTATTACGTAAGAGTAACATATAAATAGTAAGGCATAGCGCAGTTGTTAAGGTAGTTAGCACAATAATAATACAATCAGTAATTCATAGTGGAGAATGTACAAAACATCAAAAAAATGTTTACAAGAGCAGTGGCGGATCCAGGAATCTGAAAGGGGGGGCGACTAGTTTGGGGTTGGTGTAGGGGCCCAATGCAAGGAATAGGTTTTACTTAATAATATTGCTGTGTAAAAGTGGTCAACAATTCAACCAATCTTGCTGTCTGTCCTCCTTGATATATTTTCCCCTCTCTTATTTATTTATTTTCTTTTTCAATCATATGTCATGTTTTTTGTTTTGTATATGTACCTCTGACCAGATTGTATATAATGTATATATGTTGTTAATGAACCCCATGTACCAATATTTTGGTTTGGGTGAATAAATTGAACTTGAACAAAAGAAGGAATCTCAAGTTTGCTCAGATGAAGTGCCACGTTGTCGCAGATAAGTAAGAAAAAAATTAGGTGGGTCAATTAAAAATATTAAGAACCACTGGGCCAGAAATGTCAAACATGCAAAAAGCTTCTTTAGTTATTGTAGATTTTTTAAAAATATTTATGGCAGCTTAGGCTATAGTTGGGCCACATTATAGTATGAAAATTTTAACACGCAAGAATCATATAAAAAATCTTCTTAAGAACAGTTTGGCCAATTAGTTATATTCAAAGATGTCTTTTGTCTTTTTAAAAAATTCTTCCCCAAAATAATGAAAATGCTTTAGACATGTTGATATTTTGCACCTCATTGTTGTGTGAATTCAATTTTACTCTTCATTGCCCTTTGGGGTTTAAATTTAAGAATTTTAAGGAAAAATCTTTAAAATTGTTCTTCTTGGGGGGGGGGGGGCAATCAGGCCAATGTAATTGAGGGTTGCGTTGTTGCCCACGAGCATCTTTCTAAGATTTAGAATATGTTTGATTTAAAAAAAAAATGATTTTTTTTAAATACAAAAATATTACAGATTCCATTATTATGGTTTAATTGATATTAAGAGTTAAAAAAATGAAGAAAAAAATCTAGACATTCTGGTCCAGAAGTGTTGTTTCACCATCCCATTTAAACGATAAAACTTATACCTACAGTATTTATCGGTAGTTTACTACAGTTCGTGAAAACCGTATTTCTCTAACTTTACCCACACCAGTGTAAAATTATTCAGAATCGATTTTCCCAAGAAATTAAATGACGCATTTTAAAGTATTATTTTGCTGCATTTAATGCCTAAATTATTAATACGTAAATCAATAACTGAAATGTTGAATTTTTCTGTGTGCTTTCCCAGTTTTTGATGCTTATATTCCTTTTTAAAAAAAAAAAATAGTGCTGTAATTATTGTGTTCTTGTTTCTGTTTGTGATCAATACTTTCACAAATTGTTGTAGTAAACCATCCGTGTCGTTCATTTGTTTACAGACACATAAATACTACGACTTTATCTGTAATTTTCATTTCAGAATGAAAAGGTAGAAACTCCACATAATTATACGATTATAAATATATGTAGGTCACAATGAAAATGGCACAGATTGGGGTTAATATTCAGGCGATCGTTAAATGAAAAAGCATCCGTAACATATAGTGTCACAGCTTCTATCGGCATTGCAAAATTTGACCTACCTCTGTAATCCAAGATTATATCCTTAATTCTTTCACATTTCTTTTCACTTGTAAATAGGTAGATACTTATGTCAGCAGACAGGGACAGGTGCAACAGAAAATTTTGCGCTTGGATGGACAATATAGAAACAAAACAAAGGATCCCGTTTAGTATGTCAAGTATTTATACTTTTCACTCACGTAACATCGTTTTTGAAAATGGGGCCACCAAAAATAAATAAATAACTTACCTGAAAAATCTTCATCTTTGACAAGCAAAAAATAAAATTTAAAAAAAAAAACAAAATAAAAGGAAAGAAAGAAAGCGTGTAAATGGGTGAGGGGGTAGGTTCCAACCTTTAGATACGAATTTCATTCGATACATTAGCATTGCAGGATGACCTTACTGCAACAAAAATGGGGGGGGGGCATTTTCATGAACATTTTCTTAATTAACAGTAAAACATGTGTGGCGAACAGTTATGAGTATATAGGGAACTTATACTTCCTTGCTAGTGAGCTAGCTTTTCTAGTTATGTAGAGTCTTCCTCTATTTCAGGCAAGTTAAGCAACGGCGAGCCTGTATTACCCTTGAATTGGTGACCGCTTCACGTTACAATTGAGATCGAAACAAAGTGTATCCCCCCTCCCATACTACTCGCCTTCTTATCCCATAAAATATTTCTTTTTCTATTTTTTTACTTAGATAAATATATTTTCGATTCATTATCTCTCACGCACCCTAGCTATACCAAAGCAAACAAGAGGCCCAGGGGCCACAGTGCTCACATGAGCACTTTGGATAGGAAAAAGCAGAGATCAGTTCAGTATTGAAAATTATTGAAAAGTTGAAATTAGGGATGTCAAATCGGTCAATTTTTGATAATCGGTTACTCGGACGTTTTTCCGATCGAGTACCCGGGTACTCGGTAAAAATGAAAATACAAGACAGTGTGATAATTTTCTTGAGCCGGGTAAAGCTCTGTTAAATCCCAAAGCTGTTTTATCACGTTTATAAATGTATATAAACAACTGAGTCAAAGGGAAATGATTTTTGGTACCAAATTTATTTATGAAATAAACTCAAAAGACACAATTAATGCATAAAAAAAAATAAATAAAAATGGTTTACAGTTCTTGTTTAGGACCTATATCATCAACGCAAAAGGACAATCTGTTAGGCAGTTTTGTGATGTTAGACAAACGAAAGAGAAGGAAAAGACGTTCTTGGGATCGCTAATCTAATTATTTCATAATTTGGTTGTTTCCCATGAAACCTACTACGCAAACTGACTTTCAATTTTTTAAAAATCTTTAGTTATTTCTAAATATTTCTTCACTTTTGAAGTGGGTAGCTGTATTTCTATGCATGTCCGATTTCGCTACCGTATATTAATTAAATAATTTAAAAACGATTTGACTATAATAAACCATACTTAAACGATGTTTTCTGAAAACAATCATTGAAGCCATCCAAAAATTAGGGACCACAATAGGAGAGAACTGCTGTGTACCAGATGATTGGCCATTAATTACTGTATATACACAGCCACAGGCGATAACAGGTGTTTTACAGGTGTAGATGACGACAAGCTAATTACCGTATGAATATTTAAGTAATTTTTTGATAAGTTTTTGATAAAAATATGTACTTTAAAATAAGAAAAAAATATACTTCCGAGTAACCGAGTACCATTTTTAGTATTCGATACTCGGACGTTCGATCGAGTACCCGGTTAACCGGGTACTCGTTGACATCCCTAGTTGAAATATAAAAGTGGTTCGGGGGAGGGGAGGAATGATTTGAACAACGCAGCACAGTTAAGGATACAAAAAGGAGGCAGAGCCTAATTTTTCATTTTATATATAAATGTAAACACCATTATGACCCCCCTAGAAGAAATTGGTGTAATCATAATATAATATAACGTTTTGTAATTAGCCATATTGAATAACATTTAAGTTTATATTATAGGTCAGAATTAATAATCTGTAATGACATCATAAATGATCACCATATCAAAGGGACGCGTTTTTAGTAAAGGATTAAAGGAAATTTAAAAAAGACTATATTTGAAGAGGATCATTTTTTTCTCAGAAAAGTTTCTGTCTAGGTGTAAATTAGCAAAAAATACCATTTGGAATGTTATCTCATTTTATTTTATCCATTTTTTTTGGAAGAGGGAGGGGGCTGGGTGGGTAACAAGCTCAACCCGTCACATGGTTCTAACGCTGCATACCTCATACCACTCTTTGGGTGACGTCTTGGCCAAACTGGCTCAATTATAGAAGGGTAGAAAATATATACACCAGACAAGGATTTTCCACAAATGTCTGCTTTAATCTTGAATTCTAACCTTGTTTTGCTTTGACCTAAATGTTTGACTTATAAACTTAGCTCAAAGTTACTGCACAACCACTTCATGAAAAAAACTTTACTCACAAGGGGTGAAACACTCTTTGGTTGAAGTATGAACCAGATTGGACAAAGGGAAGAAAGAGCGTGCTCACAACAAGGAACGGCTTTGAATTTGATCTCTGTCGTTTATCTTGATCCATGGATACTCTTTTGGTGAAGTATAAGTCAGATGAAACCAAGGGGAGAGGAAAATAGGCTAAATGTATAGTATTTCACACAGAGAACATTTATGTCCTTGACCTAGAAACATGGTTCATGGTACATCCTTTATCCATAGCCACTCTGTGGGTGAAGTATAAGCCAGATAGGCCAATGGGAGAGAAAATACGATTTTGACAAGGATTTTACAGAGAGATTTTATTTGACCTTAACCTTTGATCCAAATAAATTGTTCAAGGTCATTGCATACCTCTTACCTTCGGGCACTTTATGGATAAAGTTTGAGCTGGATTGGGCCAGGGGAGGGAAAATATACTCTGAAGTATTGATAGAGTATATGGATAAAAGAGAGATGAGCAACTAATGAAAGTAAAAGAGTTGGTCGAAGAGTAGTTTGCAAGATATTCAAAAAGTGTTTTATTCGACAACAGATCTAATCTGAGATTTCAAGATCAGGTGTAGGATCTAGGAGTAATTATTTAGTTGCAAAATTTGAAGAAAGTCAACATAAAACAGAGTTATAAGCTAGAGCGGCTGCACTTCAAGATACAAAAAAAAAACCCAGATAGAGGAGGCCAAGCTACAACTGAAAATCAAAGAAGAAGAACTAGATATACAGACAGCATTACAGATCAGCGATACTCGAACTAAAATTATCGAACTTGAAAGAAGTGAACTCAGGGGGAAAAACTAAAGCAAGTTTTGAGTGATATGCATTCAGAATTGCATCACCGTACACCTATGGTTGAGTCTGTACAAAAGACAAATGTACACCAGCATCCCCAATAGCATGTGTCTGTGTCTACTATACAATCAACCTTAAATCCACACGCGCCTTTGTTTACATTAGTGTCAAGGAAGTCACTCAACAAAATTGGGATACGCTTCATTTCACTCAATCTACTTTACAACATAGTATTCCACATATACCTACTGCATAGCACGCACTATGTACCTGCGATATCAATATTCAGTGATAAATACAATGCCGGACGTGCGCGTAAGAAATAAGGTCTACTTATTGTAACATAAAAACTATATAAACCTTAATCAGAAATACAAAAGTTTGAAGGGAATGCAATGGACTATCAAAGAATTAGTATACAGTTTAATACAAAGGTGTGTTTTTACACCAGCTCATATGAGGAACGTCTAAACTTTCTCCTGCAATTTACCAGTGTTGAAGCTAAAAGAATAATGACTGGATATTCACACTTAAATGCTGAAGGAGGATACAAAGCTGCACTGGATGAATTCAAAGATCAATATGTGATCCAGACTTTGTTGCGCAAGTCTACGTGGAAAAAACATTGAATTGGTCAAAAAACAAGACACTGCTAGGGGACTTGATGACTATGCAATATTTCTTACTGAGTATCCGCATGCTTTTAATAATGTAGCTAGCTCTAGAACCCTAGAATACCCGGAGAACATGAAACTTATTATTAGAAAACTTCCGTTCTAACTACAAGAAAAGTTACGAAATGTTGTGTACGAGCCCAAAGACAGAAGAGAAGTTTTGAAGTTTGGACTTTGTGAAATTTTACTGTAAGGAAGCTAAAAGAGCCAATGACCCTGTCTATATGAGAGAAGTTATGAATAGCTCAACATCTTTGAAAGATGGACAGAATAATAACCCAACCACATTAACGAAACAGACAAGGAACTTTGTAACCAAAACTCAAGAGACGCATCCATGTACAATCTATCATGCATCTGAACAACCTAGATCAAGATCACCTGCATTTGTGAAACCGTCTATTTATTGTCAAGGCACTTCATATGCATTGGAAGAGTGCAAGAACATTATGAACAGAAGCTACCTCCAAAGGACAGATATGTAGTGTTGAAGTCGAAGGGACTATGTTGCTCGTGTTTGAGGTCTGGACGTCTTAAAGGAGCCTGTCAACACAAAACATACTGCATCCATTGTATGAAGTGCTATTCACCTATACTTCATGTGAATCCTCGACAAAGCAACGAAAATCCAGTGATTGTTAGTACAACTGATCAAGACAACAACAGCTATTTAGTTCCATCTGCGGCCGTATCTTCAACAGCGCATTTGGGGACTGGGGACTCCGTAAAGCAAGCGCTTCCAGTAATACTCCAGCGGCTGAAATCAAGAAACAGTGACAATTTGTTATTACTTATCCTTTTTCGATATTGTGGGAGTACAGCGACTGTTTGTACAGAAGAAATCGCAAGACCACTCCACCTAGAAGGCAAACAGACTGTGCTTAATTTAACAAGTATGGGACAGCAGAGGACAGAGAACTGTTGTATTCTATCTGGTCTTGAAGTGAGTGATTTGAATGGTGATAACACAATTGCATTGCCACCTATATACATGTACCCTCAACCAAATTTACCCATATCTGAGAGACATTGTTACATGTACATCAGAGGACCTACAAAGATGGCCCCATTTGCATGACCTACGTATTGATACCATAGACAGTGATGTTGGTTTATTTATTGGTGTCAACG